TATCTTTTCTTTTTATGTACACTGAGAGTATTTTCACCAAGACTAATACCCTGTGTGACCAATCACACTTGGCCAACAAAGAATTCTATTCTATAACAGCAGGAAGTAACCATTTGTGCTCTTACACCCTGGCTGTGATTGGAATTGATAAATTATGGGTGGATAATTTGGCCTGGAGATATGTACATGGTTTTACTTTTTCTTTTAACGATACTATAATTCCTTGCATCAGGGTGGAATCGGGGTGCATGGAGCTGAGTGTTTACTGGCCAGATGCCCTTCCTGACGCCTAGATGGATTTCACAGCAGATATTTTTCTCTTTGTGCCCAGAGAGAGAGAAATATCTGCCCTTTACCTAGCATCGAACTGAAAGCCTCCTGGTTGTGAGACGAGAGCTCCACCTCTAGGCCACCTCTAGGCTCACAGATATGGATGTTTTTATTTTGCGCTTATGTGCCTAACGCTGGCCTTTCCGATTAAAAACACGCTTCCAAACTTGTTTTTCTCCAGGAGTTGCGGGAAGCTGGTCATGAGGCATAAAATAATGACGGAGAAGGGGAAAAATCCAGATGTAAAACCCGAAAGAGGATTCCAAGAGGGCCTCAAAGCTGGGGTCACCCTGGAGAAGGCAGGAAGAATGACGAAAGACTTCCAGGCTGGGAGTACGGAAGATTTTGCCCAAATAGGGGGCTCCAGTTCAGCCAAGAGCGAGGTGGGAGATCGGCGGCGGAAATATTTGGACCCCCGAGCTGCTCTGAAGGCCATGCAGTCCTCTAAGCAGGAGGACGTGGTTTCTGAACCGTGGGAGAACGCCACGGCCTGCCTGGCTTCCTTGGAAGGAGCAGCTGAAACTTACTGGAGATACAAAGGATGGGTGGATCTCAGCAGAGAAACTCAAAAGGAGAATGAGTGGGCCAATGCTGCCAAGATGGATGACTACTGGAAGGTGGGCGAGGACGTCCTGAGGGAGGACTCGGCGGCCAACGACACCCAGCGAACTCTTTTCAGAGAGTTCCGTTACCGAGATGTGGAGGGTCCCCGCGAGGCCTGTAGCCGCCTCTGGTACCTCTGCCACCGGTGGCTGAAGCCGGAGAGGCACACCAAGGAGCAGATCCTGGAGTTGGTGATCCTGGAGCAGTTCCTGGACATCCTGCCCTCCGATCTCCAGAGGTGGGTCAAAGCCGCCGGGCCTCACACCTGCGATCAAGCGGTGGCCCTGGCTGAAGGCTTTCGTTCAAGACGGCCACAGGAGGTGAGACTTTAGAGAAAGCTAACTATCTAATGCAGGGGTCGCCAACCTTTTGGACTTCAGGAACCACCAAACTCATCATTTTAAATCCCTCGGACCAGAGACCCTAAGAATCCCCCCCCCCCAAAAAAATTTCCCACTCCGTTTTCCTACCAATCGATCATTCTTTATTTGGGATCGCAGGATACCATCTCCAGCTCTGTTCTCGGGGGGGTGGGGGGGAGAGAGAGACTTTTGGCTTCATGCAAGGAAAGCAGCAGAAGCAGCAGAAGTCTTTCTTTCTCTCCCCCAAACTCCACCAGAAATGAGTCTTTGCTGGCACAGCCTCTTGGAGCAGGATGCCTTGCAGGGTCCCAAAGACTCATTTCTGGTGGAGTTTGGGGGAGAGAAAGAAAGACTTTTGCTACTTTCCTTGCATGCAGCCAAAAACAGCAGAAGAAAAAAGCAGAAAGAAGCAGCCCGGTGGCCAGGCGAGGCGCATGGGGTGAGTGGGGCAAGTTCCCACTCTTCGCCCTTTACCCCCTCCCCTCACTACCTCAAGTTGTTCACAATGCAAGCCATGTGGGCAGCGCAGCCTTGTTTTCCCGCGCAGCCTGGATTAATTGCTTTGGGGGGGACATTTCTCTGCGGACCACCAAAAATTTCTCACGGGCCACCAGTGATCCCTAGCCCACTGGTTGGCGACCACTGTTCTAATGGGAATAGGCTAGAGCTGGGGAGGGGTCCAAGACTATGGAGGGAGGGGGAAGTTAACTGTTCCAGGAAGATCAGACTAGGAAACCAAAGTCATGCTGTCAACTCGTAAAGCGTTCTTATGCCTGTTTCCAAATTGATATTAGAAGGAGGGTGGAAAGGCCTGAGGGAGCAGTGCTGTATGTGAATGCCAGAAGCACATTCCATGCTTATCTTGTGGAGATTGTAGCCTAGGCTACTGGATCTTCTGCCCAGGAAAATCCTTCATTGGAGAGTGTGATTGATGACACCCAGCCCATGAACGTGTTTTGTTGGAGAATCTGATTTATGACACATCCAGGGGTGGGTGGGGAAACAGGGTGATAGGTGATAGTAAATTACGTGTCTCAGAGTTGGCTTCATACCAGAGTTGGTTAGTGCCAGACATGTTGCTCTTAATAAATCTTTTGAATTATTTTGAAGCTTGGCTTGAGGCTCATGATTTAATTAGGGCAATTGTCGGAACCCTGACACATACAGGCCAATATGACTTTTATTATAGATCTGGTAATAGAATCTTGCAAGCTTTAATGTGCTTTCTCCTCTCTCACTTTGTGAGTGTCCTGAGTCAGCCAATACTGGATTTCTGGGAGTTGAAAGTCCACAAGTCATAAAGGGGTCATAGTTCCCCATCTCTGCTTTAGGGGTACTACGAACACCATCACCCCCTTTTCTTTTTTTCCTTTTTCTTTTTGAGGAACCTGTATGATCTCTGGATGTGATGGGTCTTTATGTGGGGGAAGAAACTGGCACCCTCACTTTGCGAAATCTCCCCAACCTACTTTCCCTCCTCTGTTTCTTGTTGCTAAATATAACTTTTGGGGTTGTTTCAGGGACCAGGTTTGGTGCAGGAGGTGGCTGAGGGGTTTTCCATGGCCGAGCAGACTCCGACAGGGACTGGAGAGAGACAAGCCAGTGCCGCCGGAGTCAAGCAGGAGCAGGACGATGGCAGCGACACAGAAGGTAAGGGCTCGTGGCGGGTTGCTGTCTCCGAGATGCCTGGATTTTCAGAAGTTGGTTCTTTTTTTTTTTTAATTTTAAAAGAAAAAATTATTAGAGATTAAAAAAGAAAAACACTGTACACTGTACATCAAATACAACCTTACGTTGTAGAGAAATTCTATATATACAAATACATAATAAATTATTATTTGCTGTCAGCGTTAAACATATAAAACATATGCTTCTAATCAACTAAGACGGTGTGCTTTTCTCTTGGTAATGATTTTACTACTATTTGTTTCTTATTTGGTAAACATTCTTAACTACTGCATTCATCAAAAACATATCTTTTAATTTCCTTAGGAATAAGGAAGACTCAAGATATATTACAGCTTGGGATAAATGGTATAAATGGATTAAAGAGAAAAAACAAAACAAAAAAAATCAGAAGTTGTTTCAAGCAGAACATCAGCCCTTCAAAGTAGGCCAGGTCAAGAAACAAATCTTGCAGGATTCTTGTAGGATAAATTAGCAGAACCATTAGCAGAACCATTAGCAGAAGCCTGTTCCAAACCTTTACTGTTCCTTTTTTTAAGGATAACAAGGAAAGTGTCAGCTTTGGAAGCCATATTGAGACCAGATGCTCCCACGCTGCCACATTTTGAGCCTGGGAAAGTGGGAAGGGGGAATTTCTTGGAGTGTATGTAGTTAGACATAACAACATTCTTTTTCTAATTCAAGGTCATGTGATTTTGCGCATAAGTGAGGGGAAGTCTCGAGTTGGGACGGATGGTGATTGGGGCATGTGATGTGATGATGGGTGCAGGGGTGGATTTTGTAGTTTTTACTTATTGCGAGGAAGCCCGGAACTTTCAGATTCGGGATTCCCCAGTTGAGCCAGTTTGCTATCCAAAATAAAAGGAACTTTTGAGAAGATGTCTGTCTTAGAGTTATTGGTTGGAGTGGAGGTTTTCTGGAACGCTGACAGCAGGGTTGTTGTCAGTCTCTCTCTCACTTTCTACTTACTCAGGGCTGAGAACAGTTTCTCCTCTCCAGTGTTAGGGATATACCCTAGCAGAATGTGCACAACAGTCAGGCAGTCAGGCGAATATGAGAGAAAGCGTTTTTTAGTTTTCTCACTCAGTAAAAACGGATACACTGTCTTAGTTGAATAGTTTATTCCATTAAGAGTTTAGCAGGGTCAAACAGTCCAAAATATCATTCACTAGTGTTCAGTCAGTTCAGTCCGGAGATTGTTCAATTGCAAAAATCCAGTGTCAAAATAAATCAGTTAACTTACAATGTCAATCCATAAATCAGTCCAGTAAATATCTTCTCACAGTAGATTAGATATGTAGCATTCAAAACTCTTTCCTCCTTCGACTTCAGCAACAGGGAACACGCAGAACAATCAACCATCAATCCAGTAGCAATCCAGTTTCTCTAGCTCCCTCTTATGGCAGTTTCTCAACCGCACCCAAATTATATCATTTAGAGTTTAAAGTGAAAAACACATTTAAACTTTGCTATCATGGTTTATATATTATTTACCCAAACGTTAGGTAATTATGGTTATTCCTAACATCCAGCCTGTTTCTCAAGACCAGAGCTAAATTATTCTAGCATGTTTCCCCAGAAAAAAAAGACCTATCTCAAAAATAAGCCCCAAGTTGATTTTTGAAATGGGAATCTTACTTTAGGATGGATGGTGATTGGACCATGTGATGTGGTGATGGCTAAGGAGGGATGGATTTGTAGTTTTGACTTTTGCAAGGAAGCCCGAAAACTTTCAGATTCGGGATTCCACAGATGTGCCAGTTTACTATCCAAATAAAGGTACCTTTGAGAGATGTCTGTCTCGGAGTTATTGATTGCAAGGGAGGGTTGTTGGAACGCTGACAACATCATAGTTGAGAAATGGCTTGGAACCATCTGATTGGCCAGTTGGAAAATGGGATATTGGGACTTTGATGTGGCAGCCATGCTCTGCTTGGTTTCTTGAGTAATCCTTTTTTCTCTCTGCCGCTCCCCACAGATGACAAGTGGGTGATTGAGACAAGGCAAGGGGATCTCCAGTTGGAAGACACCGAGCCAGTGAAATTGTGCGCCCGCCCCTTGCAAGAACCTTATTGGTCGGAAGAAGATGGAGACAGCCCTGCAGCTCTTGGGGATGGAGCTGGCCAGAAGGATGAGGACAACCCCGGTCAACACAGACCTGAAGGGTTTCCTCCAGCAGAAGAAGACGGGGACTCAAGTCAACCCGCCGTGGCCCGAAGACGGCACGGAAGTCGGGAAAAGAAGACCTGTGCCGTGTGCAGCAAGACTTTCAGCCGGAGCACGGTGCTCGCCGCCCATCAGAGGACCCACACGGGCGAGAGGCCATTCATGTGCCAGAATTGTGGGAAATGCTTCAGCTTCAAGTCCACCCTGGTTGCCCACGAAAGGACCCACACGGGAGAGAGGCCCTACACCTGCGATCTGTGCGGGAAGAGCTTCACCGTCAGCTCGGTCCTCACCAGGCACTACCGCGTCCACGTCGAGAAGAAGCTCTTCAGCTGCGCTGAGTGTGACAAGAGCTTCACTCAGAAGTCTCAGATGCTCAGCCACCAGAAGATCCACGTGAGGGAGAAGCCCTTCAAGTGTGCCCAGTGTGGAGAAGGTTTCAGCCGGAGCTCCAGCCTCAAGAAGCACGAGGGCTCCCACACGGGAGAGAAACCCTTCAAATGCCCCGATTGCGAGAAATCCTTCAACACATCTTCCCAGCTGGTCAAGCACCACCGAGTCCACACCGGGGAGAGGCCCTACACCTGTTCGGAGTGCGGGAAGAACTTCAGCCAGTGGCAGATTCTGATGGTGCACCAAAGGACTCACACGGGCGAGAAGCCCTTCAAGTGCGCCACCTGCGGGAAATGCTTCTCCGATCGGGCCGTCCACATCCGCCACCAGAAGGTCCACACAGGGGAGAGGCCTCACCAGTGCCCCACTTGCGGGAAGAGGTTCACCCACCGCACCGTCTTGGTGAAGCACCAGAAGATCCACGCCCGAGAAGCTCTGAGCTTAGCCAAATCGCAAGAGGAGCTGCAGCGCGGCGAGGAAAACTTCACAAAAGTTTGCAAGGTGGATGAAGGCTCAACTTAGAACAATGCCAACGGGCAACGCTCTTCCTCGAGCCTTGCCTAACTTTTTTTGGGGGGGAGGGGCTTCCAGATGCGTCCAGAGCCCATGGTCTTCCTGGCTAAAACAGATGGGAGTTGCAGTCCATTAAAGAAAACCGGGTTGGCCTGATAGCACAGGACTCGGCTGTATTGTGCGAAGATGTATATGTATCAGACAATCAGGATGACTACAATCACACTGTGGCAAGCAGTCATTTTCCCAGGGCTGAGCATGATGGGGTAGGCAACACTTGATACCTGCAGGGATCCTACACCCCTTGGTCCCCTCATTGTCAGGATTCTGGCATTTACCCCCATTTAAATCATGAGTCTCGAGCCAAACTTCCAAAACTTCAAAAGGATTTATTGGGAGTTAACATGTCCGGCATTGCCTGGGTGTAGCCAACTCTGAGACACATCATTCATTGTCACCCTTGACCCAGGTTTTCCTCCCATCCCCTGGGTGTATCATAATTCATATTCTCCAATGGGATACATCCATAGCCAAGAGTCATCAATCATGTTCTCCAATTAGAATATTGCACAGCAGAAACTTCAGTCACCTTGTTATTATCTTTGAAAACATTTATGGAATGCAGTTTCGGTTTGCAAACTGTTGCACTGCTCCCTTTCCCCTCCCTTTCTGTTGGCAACTCTAAAAGATCTTAGAAATCTTTTATGAGTTGACACTCATCTTCCATGTTGTGACTGTCTCTGTGTGTCTTTCAGATGAAAGTTGCCGGTGTTGTAGTCGAGTCGTGGCGAAGTCAATTTTTTCAAGGCCTACTTTAGCTATGCATTACAGTGATAAAGGCAGCAGTTAATGAGGACAGATTAAGCCCTTCCATTTGTACACAAGACATCAATTAGTAGAAGAGAATGTGTCCAACAGAGAAACCACCTCATTTCTTTTTGTTCAATTCCCCATCACAGTGTTGTTTTGTTGCCACTGTTCTTTGGTGGTTGGTCTCCACGTTTCTCATTTTGGACACCAACATGCTGTTGTGTTTCTGTATGATAAGGATAAGAGGATAATGTATAGCACAGAAACGGATTAAAGCAAACATTAGAAGTGCCTCATAATTAGCCTCTCTCTAAGCTTGCCTTTTGTTTGCTAATGCAGTTGCTGCCAAATATGTTTTCATTGTCTATTCACTGCAGGATAAGGCCTCTTCAGCATGTTTCCAACCAATCCAGTCCTGAGGGAGGGTCGTTTTTGAGGTTGTATTGGCAAGTGGAAGGTATAGACCAGGGGTGGGATTCTACCAGTTCCCACCTATTTGCTAGAACCGGTTGTTAACATTCTAAGTAGTTCAGAGAACCAGTTGTTAGAAGAAATTATTGGCCTAATCCTGTAAGGAAGGCAGGCAGGAAACATTCTGGTGTTGCTTACAGAAACTGCCTCTCCGTTAACCCTTATTACATTCTTGGCAGGACAAGACTTCCTGTCTTAGGAACCTCTCTGGAGTTTTTTCCCCCTCCTTTGCTGGTACTTTGCTTGTGTGGAGTGACCATTCAAAGTCACAATGGCACTGAAAAAAGTGACTTATGACCAATTTTCACACTGACTGTTGCAGCATCCCCACAGTCATGAGAGGCCAGGCGAGGAGATGCGTGCCTCGATATGAGTGATGTTGAGTTGGCCCCACCCAGCCAGTCACATGACCACCACCAACTAAGCCACGCCCACAGAACCGGTTAAAAAATTTGAATCCCACCCCTGTATAGACCATAATCTGCTTACGCCGGTCCAATGCGGGTTGGCAGATGTGATCAGTGTTAATCAGGGATATCATGGCCTGTTCTTCTTGGGAGGCCCTTCTGGATATATACATGTCTGATGATATAACCCACACAAGCCCCTTTGCTCATAGGAGGAGGAATGTGTGTGTGTGTGTGTAAAAGAAGAAACAGACATCTTGCGATCTCCAGAACTAAAATTATATTTATTATACTTACTAAGCTTACGTCAGCCTCTGCTGACATCATCTGAGTACTAAGCTACCATTAGAGAGATCTATGCCTTTATATATCATTAATCAATTTAGCCCTTGCATGTGTAATAGGCCCTTCCAACAGCCTCCCACCTGTAATTAATTCTATTGTTTTTGCTTCAGTCTGTTTCTTCTTTTACAAGTATACCTGGAACTTGTATTTTTAGAATACACACACACACACACACACACACACACACACACACACACACACACA